CATTCAGCTTTGAGCTTTTCCTGTTTAACTTGATCAGCCCGCATATGATTTTACTCTCTCTCTCTCTCTCTCTTCTTTTCTTTTTTTTTTTTTAATTTTCTAGAGAAACCAAATAAAAAAGTCCAGGAGCATGCAGCTGGTTAATGTTAACTAACGACCTTGACAGGATCATGTAAACTATATTAGATGTCATGCTTGGGGCCTTACTGCCAGCAACATTAGAGAGTCGTTTCATTAAAAGTGAATACTGTACGCTGAATATGGGATAATTTTCTGCAGCCTTCATAATCTCACACAGTAAATATAATTTAGATTCAGGTACAGAACACACTCTGGTGTCACAGCTAAGTATGTCCTTGTGCAATCTCTTTCATTAAGTCCTTATGAAGCTACAAGTTGCAAATCCAAAATTCTGCTCCCTGAGGACACAGCTATGTGAGAAATAAGTACTGTTTTAGTTCTCTGCCTATCCTGAATTGCTCTGTGAACCTAATCTTAAATACCATCATGTAACAATCACAAAAACTTTTGCTAAAGGCCATATATACTAATAAAAAGACAGTGGTGCTTCCAACATTTTGAAATGCTCTGAAAACCAACTTTTCCAATACTAAATACAACAAAATAACCTTCATAAAATATAACTTTTCTCCATTTACATTTTTAAAGGATTAGTAACCTATGCTTTTCAAGCATAGGAATCTGCGAAATAACTCCTAACATGGACAGATTTCCTTTTTTAATACATAAATTAAGAAACTGGAGAGTTTTAACCCAAGTCCAGTTTCCAAACAAGGAATATTCTTGTTTACTTTAAAAATGGAAATGACATGCATTTCCATTATAATTGTTAAAAAGTTAGCTTTACAAACAAGGGTATTTTAATAAAAAAAAATCTTAACAAAACTATACAGTGTACAAATTACTGTCTACAAGGTAGGCGGTTCATTCAGAAGATCCTCCTTTCTTCTCGCTACTTGCAGCTTCACAAATTCATTCACATATTTTCAATGGAGCTGCCCACCTGAACATCACCCCACAACTATATTGCTATAATTAATATTTTTGCCATGTCTTTATGTACAGTCTCCTTCACTGCCTTTTTTTTTTTTTCCTTAGTCAAGCCTCAAACGTTCATGTCACTCCGGGGGAAACACACTTCAGTGGCACAGCCATGAGGCCAGGGCTGCAAAGCAACATAATAAAGGCAGAACAGTGCACATAGAACGGGGTGGCTCGATTTAGTCAGAATACACTTCCTGGTGAAGGAGGAGGCCACAGACTGGATTTGAGTTCTCAGACTTGTCTTAATCTTTTGACTGATGAGCTTGGGGGAAAAAAACAAAACAAAACCAAAACAACAAAAAAACCCACACAAAACACAACCCAAACCTACAATAAATGAAAAGTTAATTTTCTTCCAAACAGACTTTTCTCTTAGAGAGATAGGTGGAAAAAACCCACAGTTTTTTAACAACTCAATTCCTTCTCATTAAAGGGAGGAGTTTGCTTTCTAAAATACTGCATCTGTAAGGTCATCTTTTTTCATACAGGTTGTCAGAGATAAAAGAGCTCTGTTAAGGACATCCATCTTCCTACAAGGGCAATCATAATTTTGACTATTGCATCTTGAGGTCTGAACTTATTTCAGTTTCACCCTAGTGTGCTATTAAAAGCCTGAAGGGGACATCTTCATAATGACACTAATCAACGACAACCCCCCAGCACGCCCCTCTGTCCCCCAACTGGTCAGGATCAGTGTGTAGAAAAGATAACACACAGTTTATCTTACCAGCACAGAGCCTAAGGTATGCTCTGGATGGGTCTAGTACATTTTGGTAATCTCAGTGAATTCACTTACTACAGGGTTCAGAAAAAGAACAACATAATGTTGACTTTCATTTTCTTTTGGTGTCTTATCTCTTCATGCAGGGCCAGGGAGCAGGGGTTGTTTGGTTTGGGGCAGGGATTTTTTTCAGTTTTGCTATAGATAAATCTTAAGGATTAGCTTTTCTGCAGCTCCTGGTTTTGCAGCCACTCAACCCCTGCCTGTGGGGATGTGCCACCACCACAGCTCACCAGCCACCATGCACAGGCCAGAGATGGAAGGGACTGCCTTCAGTGTGTTACTGCCCAGCGCTCAGCAGGGCAGCTGGTGCTGGAGCTGCACCTCCGGGGCTGCTCCAGGGTAGAAAAACCTGGAGAATGCAGAGACAACTGCAAAAGGATGAATCTTCCCACCAGGGTATCCTATATCCCACAAATCTCTACTCTCCTCTGCTTGCACCCCGATGAAAGGGCATGCTTTTAAGAAAAATTCACCCTGTGTTGAGGCATACAGCACAAAGATCCCTGGTGTAAAATGTGATTTTACAGTGAATACACTTTTATTTACATCATAATGTAACTCCATGTATTTTTTTTTTCCCCACTACAGCCCAGAGCTCTCCTTCTGACCTGCTGTATTTAACAAGACACTGCAAACCTCTGACATAGCCTTAGCAGGCTAAAAATGTTATGTCAGATGCTGTGAGATAACAAATTGAGGGGGAAGTATGTTTTGATGCAGAGAAAAAAATGAAAAAGGACTGTTTATCAGTCAAGAAGACTAAGAGAGGCAAATTCTCCACAGGATCAACTCCAGAGTCCACTGGAGTCAGTGGAATTATGCCAGAAAAGTTTTGGCCCTGTACATGTATTTCCTAGACAAAGCTAGCAACTTTGTCATTCTAAGTTAATAACATTTTCTAACATGAACACTTTAGGATTCGGTGTCTTTGCCAGAATGGAAAAGGCTTCATTTCACTGTGGGTCTTGACCTGTTCTCTCCCTCTCTCTCTCTCTCTCCCCTCCCCTCCGCCCCCCTCAAGAAAAAAAACAACTTTAAAACAATTTCCTCAAGTCAAGTCTGCCTCCAACAGAATTCATTATTTATTTTTTAAATCCAGAAATGATTTCAGCTTGCACCCCAGGTGGGAAGTTAAAAGAGGGAACCGATTTGAGAGTTTGTCACAGTAGGCAGAACAGTCGCTTTGCAGCCCTTGCCTGGCTAAGGGTGCACTGCTTCACAGCTACACTGTAAAGTGTTAAAAATCCTCCCCACCCACCCCAGAATATATATATATATGTATGTATAAAAAAAAATCCCCTGTCCACCTCTCAGTACAGAAAAGGACCTCATCACACTGCAAAAATAGCAGTACCCACTTTGGTCAATTAAAACAAACAGGAAAAAAAAGCATACATTATTCTTTTTTTTTTTTTCTTTTAAATCTGTGTACTTACCTATAATAACCAATACAGCTAAAAGCACTACCTACATAGGCAAAACTTGGTATTGCATAATTCGTATAAATTTGTATCCCCTCCCCCCAATATTAATTGGAAGATGAAAAACATGAAAGCTTAATAGAAAAAACACCAAAATACTGAAAATATTGCTGGTCGATTACAATTTTTAAGCGGCAACTATACACAGCCATGATATGCTTTATAAATGTGAGATAAAGGTATAACTGTCTAAAAAATTCATGATGTCACACTTTTTTCCCATCTGGAGTACAAAATATTTTGTCATAAAAATGGTAAAGATTTAAAATGATAATAAATGCAGCAAAACAAGTGTAGTGATGTCAATTTTTTTGTGTTTTTTTTTCTTTTTTGTTTTTTTTTCCATTTTTTTAGATTTCAAGGCAAGGCACGTAATGTGGACATTATATCTTCGTGCAAATTAGGATTACTGGAAAGAGTATTTTAATTATTTTTTTAAAGAGACATAGAGGCAAAATGTCTGCCCATGCACGTTATATATCTGTCAATATGTGAAAATTGTTGAACAAGGCTAACTTCTGAAAGCACCATGCAAGTTTCAGCACCCTGACTTACATTAAGAGTGCATTATTTAAATATAACATATCCCCATCCTGGTATTACCAGTTTGTAAACGGTAAGCTTTGCCCTTGTGACATGGATTTGCCTATCTCTTTGTCTCTATGATGCAGATTTTACAGAAACATATAAACCCTGTGGGTTCTTGATGCAACCAGTAACTTTAAATAAATAAATCCTACCCCTCTGTGGAGGCAGCAGCTAAACCAACATAAGTGCTGTGTTTCCATTGATTTATTTTTCTCAAGGACATGATTTGTCTTGATTTAATGCCTTTTAATGCCCTCAAAAACTGAGGGGAGAAAACAAGTTTGTTCAAAGTAATTTTTATTTCTATTTTTAATCCCCTCAATTTAGAGTCCAAGGGCTGAAGGACTTATAGTGATGACCCCTCAGATATGATTTTTAAATTGCACTTGCCTCTGTAAGTGTTTTTTTTAGTGGGGAAAATGTTCACTTTTTCACTTTTCTTATTTTACTGTTGCATGAGGAGATAACACTTTTACCTACGTAGAGGCATTTCTTCCATAGAGCCCGTGTGTTCATACCGATTGAGAACTTCAAACTGCATAACACACCAGAAAAGGCTGAATTAAGGGCCAAAGTTTAATAAATCTATAATGAAAACTAAAGGCTACAGAGCTTATTTTTAAAACATTTCGAAATCAGAGTGTTGAGAATATGTCTGGCTCACGCCCTTGTCCTCCTGCAGCTCTGTTGCTGCTGTCTAGCCTTTGTTTTGTGAGATAACCAGGAATAGTGATCCCATGCGTAAACAACAAGAATACTAAACCAATAAAACTAGCTTATCATGCAAATATTAAGGCATCTAGAAAGTCAGTTAAAATATATTGTCAGAGACAGAACATCTATTTCCCAGCGGACTTCATATAACAAAGGCTACTTAGCAGGGGCTGCATTCTACCCATCAGTGAAATATCATCGACCCTTTGTGTGTCATTTCAGTTTCAACCATAAGAGAATTAGTGATTGTAAGAGCTGCAATTGCTGGTCTATTTTTTCTTCTTTCTTCCGTTTCTTTTCTCATCCTGTCTTCCTTTCTTTTTTCCTTTATTTTTAATTTTGCTTTTATTTTATTTTTATTTTTTCCCTCAGTTGCTAGTTTCTGCTTGAAGGAAAGGCTCTCCAATTATGTTCAAACCATAATTTGGGACATTTGTTGGCAGGATCGGCGTCCGATTCGATACTTGAAAAGGAACCAAGCTAGCCCAGGTACCAGGACTGTTGAAAAGGGGAGATAAGGAGAGAAAGGGAGAGAAAAAACAAAGCATAAATTAAGCATGTTGCAAAAACTAGAACATAATGAATTTGAATCACAGTTAAGCCAATATTCATTATTAATAGCACTACTTAAGATAAAAGAAACCAAATTGAGAATATTACTTGATAATTTACTTCACAGTTTCCTTTGTGAAAATATCACTTATTTGAAAGAAAAATAATTGTGTTGATCTCAGTTGCAAGTGGCATTACTGCTGTTTTACACTAATTGGCCTGTTTGCTTATGGAAGATCCCAAAAATTTCAGACGCAAATATCTATAGAGTAGACACAACTAAACCATAGCCGTGACACCATATGGCACCACAGATGTTATTTAAGAGCTACTGAAATATACTACAGTGTATGGGTCCACTTTTTTCAAGAACACAATATAAAGGTTCAGCTTCCTGCATGATTTCCTACAACCCGGCAGTTTATCTTGTCTCAGTCCCAACCTGTGCCTCTGAGGTTCGTCGGTCTTCATGAGAACAGAGGATCTTTAATATTCAGAAAACTTGCTTTCTTTATAGACTTTTCCCCAAAAGCTATCAGTGTCTAAGGAACACTGGGTAACACAGGGCCCAGCCATGTAAACAGATGCAGCCAAGGGTAGCCCTGAGTCAAGGTTAGCAGCAAGTACCATACATTTTTCAACAAACGCCTGAGAAAGAAAATATTTTCAAAGGCAGTTCAGTGATTTTGGAACTTAAACCATCATTTCAAAAGCACTCTGTCACTGAACTTAAGTCCCGACAGCATTCAAGTCTTTACCAGTAACCAACACATAGTAGATGCCATACCCAACAGTATTTGCAAGGTGGATACTCAAAGGAAGACCTCAATTGCCTCTATTCAAGACCCAGAGCAGATACTGAGCAGACTTTTCCTTAGATGTGTTTCCGGCAACCCAGAAATACAGTCTTGTCAAATTTATTCAGGAGAGAAATGGAATTGTTACATCAGCATTCATCGCCAAACCACGAACACCACAACCGGACACACAGCGTGCAAACACATGCCTCCTTCGCATTTCATTGCAGAGAGTTTTCCTCCCCACTAGGTGCTTCCACAAACACAACAGCTTACTTGGGAATATACCTTGGGATTAAACTGACAAGATTCATGGTAACACATCCAATGACTAAAACCTCTGACGTATGTTTTGCGGTGGATAGACGCTGGAAGTTTTCTCCCTTCTCTATCTCTGTTCACTTCTCCACACTCTGCGGAAGAGCAGAGGCACTCCTGTGGCATTGGGTACAAAGAGGAAAACGGGCTCTCTGCCTATTTCAAGTGCGTGCAAATGAACTACATTTCACTTGGAAGACTTACACAATCCTTTCAGCTGCTGCTTTATGAACATTCAAGAAAGAGGTCAATTAATTCTGTGAAATCAGGGAGACGTGTTCCTCAGGTCTTTTATATTAAAAAAAAAAATATGAATAGTTTCTGTCCTTTACTCCTGTTTGATACTCTTTACCACTCTAAACCTGTTAATCTACAATTTTGATACCTACAATTAATTTCAGGTGTTCTGTTTCACACACAAAAGAAAAGAAAAAAAATGCTGACTTGCTTGTCTCAATAATGGTCAGATTCTGAAGGGAGCAGGACTAGTTTCTTTCCCTCAAGGAAATAAAAGAAATATTAATAACCTCATGTATTTTAAATGCCTGAAGTATGAATATTATTCAATAGAGCTAGCTGGAGTTTTTTCAGTTGATTATATTCTTGAAGGTCACCTGAAAATATGGGGCAATTTTAACCTCTTCAGAAATAAAAATATATTGTATTTTACAATTTAAAATTATCTAATATCTTTAATTAAAGATTTTTATTTCTTTTTAAATTCTATTGACTACTATAAATAAAAGAAATTATCTTGTTGGAGAAATAACCCCTTCTGAAATTCAAAAAATCACAGTTACACTGCAAATCTTGAAATATTCACACAGGTTTAAATCCAGCTGTGCTTGAAAGATTTGTCCAATATGATCTGATAAAAAGATTATGTTTCAAAAAAAAAAAAGTTCAATACCAGAACCTAATTTAAGAGGCTTAATTGTTTGAACTTATTCATCTTCCTTCATATTTTTTTTAAAATGCATCCTGTTTCTTCCTCTTCAGATTTCAGTGATATTAAGAAGTAAATTCTAAAATAACAGACTCAATGCAAAATGTTTCCAATCACAGGGATTGGTAAAAGTAGGAACTAGCAATAAAAAATTTAAACTAATAAGAAAAAAGTGAGTACATTTGTTTGCTGGGGATCTGTCTGAATATATATTTTATAGTACACAATTCTTTGTTGTCCTCTTACATGGAATTCACAGTGGTTAGCAACTTTAAACAAAATAGAAAACTAAAAGAATGTAAATTTTGTGTGAGGTCAAGATGATATTTACACATTTTTTGTTGCAAAGGCTAAATACACAAACTACATGTTATCTTTCTGAATATTTACAGCGTGTTTTAGTGGTTGGATACATATATAGGTGACTCTTTTCTCTGTTTTAAAGTTGTCAACCTTCTAAAGACTAGAGTGGGTGAAGGAAAGCAGTCAGTGCTGATAAAGGGCAATTTACTATTTGTAGCAGCTTTCTTATCTACCACTTCGTATAGGAGACAGAGATCCTGGTTTTGTGGAAAGTGCTCAATAAAAATAAGTTGTAGCAAGTGACTCATAGGACTGCTGTTGCCATAAGACCTGCAAATTTAATATTGGTGTTTATTTAAACCCTTCAAGACTCCCACCTTATATTACAACTGTGATTGCAACAAGTTCATCAATGCTGCCTATGAATCCTCAGGGAGTAATAAATCTCCCACATCGACACTACGCTGATCCCACAGGAGTTTTGGAAGCCCCTCGGGCTGCTCGTGCAAAGCCTCCCACTGCTGGCCAGGCCGGTGGGACAGGCAACAGAGGACCTGTGGGACCAAGACAGCAATTTGGGGCTGGAAAAGCAACCGCTCTGACTGACATCTCTAAGGGTGGGCTGAAGTCCCTAATCTATACAGTCTGATATAACTGTCTCTTGGAACACCCCAGTCCTAACTCCACTGCCAAGCGTTTACTGCAGACAAAAGAGGAAAACTGAATTAAAGTCACAGAGGTAAAGAGCACTAATTGCAGCACAAATCTCTGAGAATATCTACAATAAAAAAGAATAACCAAAAAGACAACTCAGGCTCTGCTAAGCTACATATCTATGGCTGTTTAGTCAACATTCCCACATATCTCACTACATTTACATTAAATTTAATTGAACATTCAGCTACCCTATGGGCCACATCCTGCTTTGCAGCTCCCCAGTGTTCCTGTTTGCAGCTGCGCTGGACTGACAGCCGAGAAGAGCAAAGTCCTCATGTCAGCTTTCTCAAACCTGTGTTGAGGGTACCTCGCAGAGTTTAGCTTCTGCACAGAAACCATCTACAATTCCTCTGCAGAGTGCCCTAAGCAGAAGCACCAGTTACTGCTGACTGCAAAACAGAGTCTGCCTGGGAGCGCACATGGGTGGCACAGGAGGAAAGGGAAAAATTCATGTCACTTCATCACTCTGTCCAGCAGTTTGCGTAAATCCCAGGTAAACCTTCAGCCCTCAGTTTCACAAAAGGAGAGACCATGGCCTGTCTCTGTTCACTAAGTGCCTCAAAACAAGGGAAGCCAAAATTCTTTCAAATGCCCATGACACAGACAAGCCGGTTGTCCTTGCAGAACTTAATGAGATGTTCCACTGTCCATGCAACTTCTCATTCAGAAGAAAAAGCGTTGTATGTATGAGCATACCCTACTCTCCAGCTCAGTGGTCCTGAGGAAATCCCTGAGTTCTGTGCTGACAAAGGTTATAATATAACACTTATTCATTGAAATATGAAGTGACACCTCCAAAACCAGCTGTAGGCTAAGTTTTGAAGAAAATCACAGGAGAAACACTATCAGATGTTGCTGTGATATTCAGACTAGTAGCCTTTCTGAGAGAGTATGGTTTGCAGGGACCTGAAGCACCTGTCTGAAGCATTGTATCTCATTGTCTCTCACCATAACTAGCCTATCAGGTGTATTACACAGTCATCAGCTCCCTACCTATCTACAGCAAGTTTAATGTATTTATCTGTTCAAATATAATAAAATAGCAAAGGAAAATTCTGCAAGCTTCCTACAGGGTTAATGTTCTACATTACAGTTTTCATATGTTAATTCAATCAAGATTTCTGCCATGATTTCCTCTTAAAGATAATAATTGCTGTTTCAAGAATCTCTGATTAAACTATTACTGGAATAGACCGCAAGCAGTACTAACATTATATGCATATACAGTACGCTTTGGAAGTTATAATAACATAAAGAGTATAATAACGTTAAACAATTAACTAAATGCAATAAAAAATAAATCTAATCAGATCTGAGTAAACCTAAAGGATTTTAAGATTCTTTTTTTCCATCAGTTACTACCATCCTTCTATTACAGCTTCAAAAGTTTGTAAGAGTACTCTACCATCCAGAAAGTACACCTAAACCAATACTTCCTTCTTGCAGCTTTACTATCCTGTTGTGTGAACACACTAGCTTAGATAAGGTAGATCAGATCATGCGAGGCCAGTCTTTGGGCAGAAAAACAGAAATGCCTTTGATGTCAGCCAAAGAACTAGCGAGTCACCGAGCCAGGCCCATCTATCTCCGTCCTAAGCAAGTGCTCACCCACACGAGTACAAGGAACTTTACCTTTTCAAATTGTTAAGATCGTACGAACTTTGGAAACACAACTGTGCTAACCCAAGTGCCCTAGATAAATTCCCACTTGTACATTTCTGCCAAAAGGATAATCACCCCTCCAGCATCTACTTAATGTGGTTACCATTCTAAACTGGTTTCTGTAGTTAAACTGCTGCCAAATTTCATCTCCAAGGTGAGCATTTATTTCACGAGATATATTAAATATATCTCAGCTTAATTTA